TATATAACTCTATATAACTCTATATAACTCTATATAACCATGCATACTACCACATGTTAAAATTAAAGTAACATGTGGTAGTATGTGGTAGTAACATACTACGTTCAATCAATAAAAATCCCACTAAAACCAGGAACCACCGCGTACCTGCTGAATGTATGATGTGAAACAAAACAAAAAAAAACACAAAACAAAAATTACACCACCAAGTAGAGTAAAAGAATAGGAGTCCCTAACCTACCTATGTAACTAAACTACCTTATGCCCTAGCCTACCTATATAATAAATTAATTTTTACCTCACCTACCTATGCTTCATTAACTTAACTCAAGACTTATGAAGAAAGAGAAAAAGGAGTAAAATAGAACATAAAATACTTCTACACAAACAAACATGATGTATGTATGTATGTATGAGCAACCGCTAAAGAACCCACCTAAAATATAAAAAAATACAATATACAAACACATAAACCACAGACATGCAAACTCTATATAACTCTATATAAAATAAAATTAAATAAAAATAAATTAATTAAAAAAATATAAATATAAAAAAATGAGATCAGGCACTCCGACTCGAGCGAGGCAGAAACGCCTGATCTGATTTCAACGTTTTTTCAGCTTCTATTTATACTCGTTTCAACCATACATTTTCATCATTTCAATCATTCACATCAATAAAAAACTTATTTAATGTATGTACTACACTATTATACAGTCTTAACCAAAATGCTAACCATACTAAATTGAAGTCATCGAACGAACGCCTTCGAAACTTTCTGGTTGGCTGGTTGAATCTGCTATATTGCTTTTCATATAAACATAATCTAATATAATATAATTTAATTATTTGTATACATGGATTCCAGTCACTTTATATATATATATATATATAATAAAAATTCATTATAAAAGCAACAGTAATCAGTGCTATATATGTAAGCACGCAGTTCAAATTTTTCGGGGAGAATTCAAAATTGTTTGAGACCACACCTTGCTTAACATCCAATTCCAAGCCGAGCCAAGCCAAGCTGAGCCAATATGCATAAATTCATTATAAAAAAACAACAGTAGCCATTACTATATATGTACGCACGCAGTTCAAATTTTTCGGGGAGAATTCAAAATAGTTTAAAACCACACCTTGCTTAACATCCGATTCCAAGCCGAGCCAAGCCAAGCTGAGCCAATATGCATAGATTTATAAGCGCTTTTATATTAAAATTTTGCTCGCTTTTTAAACGAATATCCCAATATAACAAATTCTCCATCCTATTTTAACTTTCTTTGATGCTTTTTAATCAGTCAGGTCACAAAAATCATAGTGATATCGCAATGAAATCAATTTGAATTTTTTTTTTAATTATTGATAAAATTTTTAAATTGTTGATAAAAATAACCAGTATATATAGTGTAGTAAAACGTTTAAAATTTTCTGAGAAAATTTAAAATAATTTGAGACTACACCATAACATAATTGTACAATTTGAATGTGTAAATACAACATTATAAATGTATTATAACTACATGTCTATTTCTTTATTTAGTTCTGCCTGTGTATATTTTGTCAAATTTATTTGATAGGAATTGAATATAACCTTTATACCGGCTGATTAACCACCATGCAGTAAAATAACTACTGTTGACACCATTTCCTCCAACGATTTCGCAACGAATTGCCCATACCATATAATTAGAAAAAACTCTATCAATCAATGTTTAAATTTTTATATTGTCATTTATTCTTTCGTTTTTGTTTCTGTACTAATTTTCGTGTCAGATACAATAATTTAGTTTTTAAGTAAATTTTCATTTTCGTAGCTATACACAAACATGCCTACCTGTTGCATTAAAAATTGCATTAATAATAAATAGAAATGAGAAAATTTCTGATGCATCTTTTCACAGGTTTATTTTCAAATTAACTTCACACTAAAATAAATGTAACAATATCCCTATACTCGTTGAATAGAACTATTTTGTTTTACAATAACATATATTTTATTTTATAGACTATTATAATTTATAATGCTATCATGGATTACCATTTTATTATTAAAAGCAATACTTAAGAAATGCACAAGTTTCTGTAACAGTTTATAAAATTTCAGATTTCCTCAAAATGTAAAAATGCAAAACGATTGGATTAAGTGCATCAGACAGGAAATAAATGATTTCAAATGGCTTCCATCAAAAAATGCAAGAATATGCAGTGACCATTTCTGTAATAAAGATTATAAGGGTTATGATGGAGAAAGGAAGGTAATGCTGAAGAAAGCATTCCCATGTTTTCAAGTTAGTTATATTTATATGTCATCAGTTACACAAGGAAGCAATTTACATCATCATTGTACATTGCAACATTCTTATCTATACAAAAAATATAAAATGCATTCACCAATATTCCATGTATTTTATTAAAACTTAGAAAGGTCATAATGACATTGTGAATAATAAACCCTGTTTAGGACTGGGATCATCATTATCATACCAATCACCATTACAAGTAGAGTCAATTTTATATTAATGTTTAACAAGTTAACTAAATTGGCATAATCAAGTTTTGATATGAAATACACATCAAGTATTTAATGTAACAAATAAATTAACAGAAAAATTTCTGGAAAAGTTTAAAAAAATTAGAACATATGACTCTGATCAAAAATCATTCACGTTGGCACTGCATTTGTATGGGCATAAGGCATATGATTATCTTTGGACAAATGGCTTATATCTTCCTCACACTAGGACATTAAGAAAGTAATCTTGTCATACCTGTTCAATAATTTTAATAAGATTGTTTTAAATAACTATTCTCAATGTCATTTTATTAACACTACATTAAAAGGTGGCTACAAAACATTGATGGTATGCCTGGGATGATTTCTACAAACCTTATTGACTAATGGTGATGGGGATCCTCTGGAACTGTAGGGTCATGACATTCAATCTAGTCATGGATTGAGAAATCAATCCTTGATATATTTGATAACAAACATTTATTATAATATAAGAATGAAAAAAAGATGTAGGTGTAAGGCAAAATCTTACTGGAACTATTATTTTTAGCAATTTATGATTTATTTTTTTATTTATGACTTTATCCATTTTCAATGATACCAATATTTTTAATTATTATTATCCAAATTATACTCATGCCTATATAAATTAATTTAATTGTGGCTATTTTTATGCTTAATTATTTTATTTACTTGCCATAGGTATGCACAGCATTTAATAAATTAATGATAATAATTAATAACACAACATTCTAAGTGCATAAAATATAATAAATTAAAAGTACAATTTTTACAAACCTCATTGGTTATGGTGATTCTTTAAAACTGAATGATCATGATCTAACAAGTCATGGATTGATGAATCACTGGGATCACACATTATCTTTAATAAATTTAATAACAACATGTACTACAATTTAAGAATGAGGAATATTTTGTAAAACATTAAATAAAAAAAAATTTAGTTTGAATCACTCATAATTAATAAATTTTAATTAAATTGCAAGTTAGCTTGGGGAGTTTGAAGCTTGAATTGAACAAATTACAAAATTGTTTATTTTATAAAATTGATTGGTAAGTTGTTTAATATATTTATTTAATTTAGTATATTTTTTATTCCCAGACCTAAGCATTGTAAATAAAAATTTTAAAACCAATCAAGCAATAGAATTTAGGATCTTAGGAACAAGTGCTGTTAGTCGTTAGTGTAGTAGTAGTATGTATTAGTGTAGTGGTTGGTAGTTTCTAGTAGTCTAATCTGTTAATGTTCGTTAGTGTTATCTGTTATTTATTTCAATTAGTAATTAGAATCAGTAGAGATTAGTTTTAGTTTAATTATTAGAGTTTAGTAATTTAATTACTAATTAGTCGTCGTTTAGTGTTGTTGTGTTGTTGGTGGTTCACAAAAAATTTTTTTTATTTAAAATGCAAAAAGATACTTAACCGTCATACAGCAATATCTATCCCAAAACAGCATCTAGTATCACCTTTTAAAACATTTTGAAATTTTAAATAAAAGCAATATTCCGAAATTAGTAAATATACGATCGTAACTTTTGACTTGGGCGATAAAAAAATCACCCTCCAATTTTCCTCCGGAAGTAAGCTCCTTGTTCGACCGTCAAAAATGAGCGAAGGCCGTATATTTATTCTAATTATATGGTACAAAGCATAAAATACAGGTTATATTCTGATTCAAAATCGTTTAAGGGTAGATTGCATTGTCAAGCGTTTTACATTTTATTTATTTTTTTTAAATTCAATAACATTTTAAAAATAATTACTCAAAAAAGTTTTCCTTTTTTTAGTATTTCGGCTGTTTACATTATACTGTCGCTAACCAACGAACATGCAGGCTGTATTTAGTTTATTAGTTGCACCGTGGGTGGAGCTTATGAGTCTCTTTAAACTGTTGACTATAAATAAATATTTCTGGAAAAACCACTTTGCCTACCTGATTACCTAACTTTTCTCTGTCTATGCCACTTTTCTGGACGTAACTCACGAATTTTTAAATAAAAAAATCCATATCGCAAAACTCGCAATTGTAAGAAAACTAGTTTCAAAAATTGTTTTGAAAAAGCCGCCTAGCAAACAAGCGCTGAAAAAGAACTCTGTATAAAAGCGAACTTCTACGCAACAAATTTTAAATTCACTTATTGATAATTTTTGTTACCAAATTATGAAATTATGAATTTAGATCTATTTTTGTTCTTATTATATATAATTGTTTTTTCTTGCCGTAATTATGTGTATTAAATAATTTGTGTGTATAACAATTATTGACATTATATATGTTTCAGTTCAATTACACACGTTTAATTACATTTCAATTTCCATGTTAAGAAACCACGTTTTTCACTTCTATGTTGGCCATTTTGTTACTTGCTGTCAAGGTTAAATTTATAAAACTGTTCGAGCAATGTCTATTTCGTTGTTTGGCGACAGTTATGTGCGTAGAATGGAATTTTTTTTTTAAATGAAAAATGACGTTATTACCCACGGTAATAAACGTGTCATATTAAAAGGAAAGCCTGGTGGGAGGATCGGAGGATTGATTAACTTCTTCCGGAAGCATACCATTCTTATTGAAACAATAATCCTTTACATCGGAGGTTGATTCATTTGTTTAATAAATAGTTTAATGTTGGTTCATTATTCTTTTAATATAATAACAGTTTTGTTTAATTTTTAGTAATTAAAATTAAATACCAGGCAATGATTTGACGACTGAAACCCCGGAACTCGTGGCCGCGAGATATGAATCCTTACTCAGACTGTTAGAGAACAAAATTAGACCGCGCCGAATAATCATATTAAGCCTGGTTTATAGAAAAGACGTTCAGAAATGGAAAGTTGATAAACTAAATGTTTCATTGAAACAATTCCAGTCTAACATTGTTCATTTCTGGAAGCTTGACAGAGTGGGAGGAGGTAATAATATAGGACCTGACGGCATCCACCTAAATGAACGTGGAATGATGAACTTCAAGAGAAACATCATTTATTCTCTAAAGTGCACGACATAAATTTTTAACGTTTTTATTTGTAATAAAAAGTTTATAAAAAAGTATGCATTGTTGTTTAATATATCTTTGTATATATATATTATATATGTACCTATATATCCATTTTTTTTATATAAATGTGTTTGTGTGTGTGGTATGACTTAATTACCCACTTACTAAAACATTTATAACCTTTTTTATTTAACGTTAAAAAAAATTGCGGTTTCAAAATGTAACAAACAAATGTCATGAACAAACCCCAATATCGAAGTTGATTGATACACAGGTTGGGGTTGAATGTTGTTAGCATCAAATATCATTACAACGAAAAAGAAAGTTATTAAATATTCACCGTAAAGGTTTCTCTCTCTTTTGCGTTTGCTTCAGAGGTTTCAACAACAAACACACAGCGTATATGAATACGCGTGCAAACTACGTATCATACACATTGCATAAGATAGGCGGGGATTTCTTTGTATTCGAACCCAGTCAATGCAATAGCAAGACCAGGCGCCTTTAACCATTGAGCCATCACGCCATAGTTATGACAAATGAATACTTGGTTTCGTCGTTTTCAGGTTTAACTGATTTGAAATAACAGGACTACTCTTTCGCTATTTCCTGTTCCAAAATAACATTAAAAATTTGTCGATTACGTTGAGCTGTTAACAATGGACAAATGCCTCCATTTGACAAATTCTGATATGACGCAGCATCAGAAAAATAAAACTATTGACGAGCAACGTCCTGGATTGAACGTGCTGTTTTACTGACAGTATTTAATATATAATGCCGAAACATAAACATCTGGATCGACGCTAATCCGGTCCGTTTTGAGATGTAATTTTTATGTCACCTTGGGCCAAAAAACAATGAAGGAAGTTGAGTTATCAACTACCACTACGTGTAAAATTAAAACAATTTATATTAGTATAAGTGTAATTCTTTTTAGAAAAGCCAACAAAAAACGGGGATATGGTACAAAAATTTGTAGCAAATAATTCGTTTAAAAAAAGAAAAAAATGCCGCGAATTAAAACACAAGAATTAAAACATGAACATTTCTTTCGAAAGTAACACTAGAGTTTAAACATGCAGAAAAATTTTAAAAATATTTTTTTTAATTTTATTCCGTTTCAAAACATAATCTGAAAAACATCTAAAATTTAAAAAAGTCCAAAAAGTACAATCACGGTATTCTATTCTGGTATTGCCATTTTGTGTTAATCAAATTATAAACTATACTACAAGCAAAAGCAGGAATGACGTTGTAACACATCAGATACGGGAAACTTCAAAACTGTGGTGCACTTAGGTTGTTTGCGAGATAATAACAAGGACCAAAAACTTCCATAATTAAGTCCAATACTTCTTTGCAGTTCCTGTTTAATTCACCGAGTTCATAAAAATTTATTTATAAATCAAAGTATAACACAATTTTAAAATATTCGATAATATACTGTACAATTTTTAAATTGTATTATGTCAAAAAAATAATATATAGAATCTTATACTATGCGCCTGCGTTTCGAACCGTTATTTTCGTTACCAATCGACAGAGATTTAATAATAATAACGGTAAAAAAATATCTCGTATCGTTATAAAACGATACGAAAAATCTCGTAACTATCCTTTAATAACAATACCAGAGATCTCCTATCGTTATTTAAACAAGACATTTTTAGGGAAGTCTATAATATCGAAATAAAAAATAAAAGACACAATTTTCGTCTCGTACAATTATTTCAATGTGTGGAAATGGTAAAAGTGCACATTGTAAAAAAATAAAGTGTTATAAAATATTAAAACTTATTTAATTTTTTCCAATTGAATGACTTTGGTTTAATAAAGACTCTAAAAATATCGTATCGTTATTAAAACGAGACATTCTCCAAAAAGTCTCGTATCAAATAAAAACTACGAACAAAACAAACTTTTCTTTAATTTTTCAATTGAATGGCTGTTTTCTGGGCGAAATGACTGGGCGGCGTGATAGTCTAATGGTTAAGGTCGCCTGGGGCTGTTTCGCAGTAGCCGGGTTCGAATGTGACAAAAATATCCCCGCGTATCATATGCTTCGTGTGTAATGTGACGTTTAGCACGATTTTCATTTACGATGTTTTGCACTCTGTTGAATCCTCTGAACTTTGGAAGAGTGTAATTGACCTTTAACTTTTTTCTGTTTTAATACAGTACATTTTGTAAAGCGGAGTTGGCGGGAAAACAACTAAGGGCAGACTGTAAATGTGCCAAGCGTCATTGTTATTGCGCGATGTTCAAATACTATCTTTCAAAAACTGAAAAATCATCATACAATTTGTGCACATACTTGTACACATGATTTTATTATATCAATATATAGTCTTCAATATCTTGTTATCGTATTGTTATGTATCGTTTTCAAAATAATAACGAGACGCAAATTCTTATGTAACAAAATTAATTTTTAATAATTCCGTGTATTTTCATTAAACGAAAATTTATTAGATCAAACCGTTCAGCCGATTTGACATGATTGAGTCCGCCTGTTAGATACGCTTCATCGTAGCCGATATTGTATCGTTTCCAAAAATTAACGAGGCGCAGATGCTTATATAATAAAATTAAATTTTTAATTATTCCGTGTAATATTATTAAACGAAAATATATTAGTTCAAACTGTTCAGCCAATTTGACAATATTGGTTCCGATAGTTAGATGCACCAAAACCGTCGCGAACATTACCTTTGTACTGTTCAGCCAATTTGACAATATTGGTTCCGCCTGTTAGATACACCAAAACCGTCGCGAACATTACCTTCGTTTCAGTAGAAAATTAACTAATTACTAACATGACAGATGACACTAAATAAAAATAATTAATAAATTTAGTTAGTGTTAGACTTAGTCTAGAGTTAGGTTAAGAAATCTTTCTAGTAATATTATCATTAAATCAAAAGTTAAATGTTCAAATGTTAAATATGTTTATGTTCCTTTCTTTACTATTTATTTCTTTTACTTTAAGTTTTAGTTTTTGTTAACCTGGCCGTATTACATAAGAAGATCGTATATACATATTTATATACCACAAAAGACGTTTTTGAAGAAGTTACTTCGTTAGTCTTATCTAGGATTGATTATTGTAACTCGCTCTACTATGGTCTTCCTGACTCTATACTCTATCCTTTAAGTAAAGCTTTTAACTCTGCTGCTCGTCTTGTTGCTCGTGCCCCTTTCTTTTCTCATATATCTCCATATCTTGTTCTCTTGCACTGGCTACCTATAAAATATAGAATAATTTTTAAAATTTGCACGTTCATGTATAAGTCTCAATCTAAATTATTTCCTAAGTACTTATCAGATATATTAATTGAACCTAAACGCCCCGGTTTACGATCGTCTTCTTCTTCTCGCTTTTTCTTAACTCGTGTTAAACACTCTTTTGCCAAATCTGCTTTTGCTTTTTCTGGTCCTTTTCTCTGGAACTCTCTACCTACTTCTCTAACTATTTCTCCATCACTTGCGAAGTTCAGAGCGGATCTCAAGACCCATCTGTTTTCAAAATTCATTGAGGAGCGCTGTTGAACATCGCGGAAATAGCGCTTTATAAGCTAATTGATTGATTGAATTGATTGATTGAAGAGTAATGGTAAAAGAACAATGAATACATAAACTTTATAACAAGCCAAAATAATTTTACGTTCAAAAAGAACACATCTTTTTGATTTAGTAATAATAATTTAAAACATAAGTTTAATTTTAAAGATGAATTAAAATTATGTTTTAAATAATAATAATAATTTAAAGCATAATTTTTATATATATTTATGTTTTAAATCATATATTTACAATACTTTCACCATGGATATAAGTATAAATATCAAATCCATGACTTAAACACGTCCTCGAACGCATCGGTGCAAACTTTCAATGCGCTTTCAGTTCTCTATTTTCCATAAACACTTTTTGACCAATTTCAATGTAATTCAAAAATCTGTCTTTAGACCAATATATTTAATAATGGAAATTCCGACATTTTTGATCTCTAGTAATTGAAACGATCAAATAATGTAAAATAAGTTTCGGTCTAACATTTGTAAAAACACATAACATGTTCTCGCTATTTTTTTAACTTCTGTTAAACACTCTTTTTTTTACTCTCTTTCTCTAACTTTTTTTTTGAACTTTCGTCCTTCTTCTCTGGAGAACTACTTATTTATTACCACGTTTAGAACGGATTTCAAGGCCCATCTGAACAAAATTTTTGGTGGAGCGTTGTTGTAATGTACATTAAAAAAACAAAGCTTTAGAAATAAATTGACCCACTGATTGATCGATTGATTGTTTGTTTAATTGATACTAAATGCGCCAGAGCTAATTCAAGTTTAAGAACTATAGCTCAATTCATGTCCTCAATTGTTAGCATTACATGAGTTACTATGGTGTATCTATGGCGTTTGCCAATACGATGAAATTTGGCGATCAGCGAAGGTCGACCATATATTTTTAGCGTTGACTGCTTGTAAAAGCAGTCAACGCTAAAATCTGCTGTTATCCATATATGTAGAAAAGAACATGCTGTTATCCATATATTTAGAAAAAAACATGCTGTTATCCATATATGTAGAATCATATATGTAGAATAACATATTCTGTATGACTTGTATATTCTATACAATAATATATATGTGTAGAATGAATGAATGCTATCTAGCTGAAATCTTTTTAAAGAACAGAACAATCCTGTCACTAGCGTAATTCACTTTTAAAAAAAGTTATGTTTTGGTTATTAAACCGGATATTCTAAAAGTTTTCACTAATTTGATTTGTTTTTATTTTTAGTTTTAAAATTTGTAAATATGAATAAAAATAAATGCAATTTAAGACGTGAATTGGATTTGATTTTTTAAAGCGGATGTTCGGCACTTTTTTCTGGTCAACAAGAAAAAAGATCACAAACAAAACCAAAAAAAGTTATAAAAACACTAGTTGAAAACTGAAAAGTAAAAAATTGATTATTTATTAATAAATAAAAATATATTAGATAGTTATGTATAATTTAAAATATAAATTTTAAACAAGTAATTAATGGTTGAATTATATCTAGAATAAGTATAACTAAAAGGTTTGTCTTTTTAGTTTTTCTTAACCAAAGGCTTAACTTAAAAAAGGTAAGAAAGTGTAAGTAAGTTTAATGTTCAATTAAATTTAGAAAAGTAAATACGATTTAGTAGGGTTTTAATTTAAATTGTAAGAAAATTTATATAAGGTTGACTCTTCTTTTTTGACCTTTATAAAACTTCTTTAAATTAATAAATCTATTATTTTGATTTTGTTGTTTGATTGAAGTATTATTAAAATTTAATTAAACATAAAATTTTTTCTTTAAATTTATTTTTTATTTCAAGTAATTAACTGATTTTATTTTAAATTATTTTAAGTTTTTGTTCGGTCCTTGATTATAGTTTGCAATACAGTGAAAAATGTCATCATCAAATTCAGTCTGGTTTGAAACCAGTTTAGAAAATAAATATGCAATTGGTTAGTCTTAATATTTGTTTAATTTTTCATTTTTTACTCAAACAAAGTTCAAATTAAATAACTGTACTAACATACCCATTATATATTAAGCATTTGATAATACTTATTGATTGTTTATTTATAAAATCTTCAATTATTTTTGTGAAATTTTTTTCTAAATCAGTTATTTAAAAATTTAATATTTTGAAAGTTTGCATAAATTTTACATAATTTCTTACTCCATTGATCATGTAGCAATCCACAACTTCCATAACATGAAGGCTGAATGTTTGGCATTTGATGTTGGAGATAGTTTGCATTTGATATATGAAACAAAAGGTTAAAATCTAAATTATTTTCTCTAATAGTTGTTAATAATTTATGTCACTTGGAGGAATTAGAATAAATGGTTTATTTGAAAATATTTACAACAGAATGGTTTTATGGGAACTGTGCCAGAAATAACTTTAGAAAAGGTATCATTCCAAAGTCGTATGTGAAAGTTAAAGATGCAATCAATGTGCAAGGGTAAGGTTAAATTTTTTAGTTATATTAAGTTTTTTTTGGTCTATCTACAAAGAAATACTTTATTTTTTTGCAAAAATTAATAAACATTTAACATTCCGTTTTTGCAGGTGCTTTTATCCTAAAGAATCTCCTCTAGTCAGAGAAATAACATCGGTGCTGAAGGAGTGGGGATGTCTGTGGAAGGATTTGTATCTTGTATGCTTTCATTTTATTGTTTTAGTTTCTTTTTTATTTGCTTAAGTAGTAAGTACATTTAAAATTTGTATTAGAAATGATTACTTTAGTTTTTGTATTCGTGAATAAATTTTAAGGGCAGGAATATTTAATTTTTTTTATGTCTTGGTTGCAAAGATTTATTGAAAATAAGAAAATTATTGAATAATAGCATCATGACAGAATTTTTAAAATTGAGAAATATTGCATCAAATCATTTTTCTTTTCTCTTTTTTGATATATTTCTTTAGTGATTTCAACCTAAGAAATCATGAATATTTCAAAAAGTTTATATTGGGAAAGATTACTTGAATTTTCTACCAGAGCGGATATAGCTGATATTTCATCTTTATAGTAGTGCACCACTGATAATGTGACACCTGTTTTATTGATTCACATTTTAAAGGGTCCATATTTAATTTTAGAAATCCATAGGCACCGAAAACAAAAGTGATGTCGAGAAGCTGCGTAAGACCATGCTTGAATTGATGGACTTTCGAAGAATTATTCTCTCCAGTAAACTCACCGTGGTCTGTTTTTATATTATCTTGTCTTGCCTTATCTTGTATTTATTTTCTTAAAAGTTTTGTTAAAATAAATAATACCAATTAAGGTTTTTGGCCTTTTGATTGTTGAAGATTCATCATTAGCAAACGTGTATTGTGTATAGCATAAATTTTTATCATGTTTCATCTTGACTGATAATTATGATGCTAATGACGGATATTGTTATAGTTCTTCCTGTACTTTTTTAAAAAGCTGATTTCATTTTTGTTGCAGGATGAGATGAAGGATAACCAACAAAAAGTTACTCAAAAGATTGACATTGGCAATGCGTAAGTTCAGTTTTTACAATATTTTTTAAATTCTCTCTGCTTCCACTAATTTATTCTTTGGTTCTTTCTGTACACTATTATTTTCTTCAATTCAACTGATATAAATAATTTTTCATTAATTTGATTGTTACTATCTAAATATTGGCTATGTAGTTCGGTTTTTGAACTTTTAATGAGATATCATTTATTAGAAAGTAGATGAAACTTTCTTAATTGAATTGATTTTTTACTTATATATATATATATATATATATATATATATATATATATATATATATATATATATATATATATATATAGTTATGTAAACTCTTTTTTTTGTATAAATGTATATATATTTGTTTATTTTATATATGAATGTTTGTATGTATTATATATAATTGGTTGTGTAATTAAATAATTGGAACATTCTGAAATAGCAGAAAGTGTGGCAGTGTTGTCATTTTGTCATTAATAATGCAGCTCACTGCATATTCACATCCTAATAAGTTTCTTAGACATTCTGCTTTTCGTTTCCATGATAGGTGATACATTCTTTGAGTCACACAATATTACTATTTCAATAACTACTTCATTCCTATCTTCCTATGTTTTATCTTATTGATTTCTGTGCATTGCATGTTTGCATGATTTTCATCATTTCAATTCACTTACTCCATCTTAGCAATCCATCTCTCCAAATTTTCATCTTTCTACATTTTCTCCCTGTATGAAAACTTTACGTTTTCATACCATTAATTTTAACATAAGAATTATTGGTTCATCATTAAATTTCATACATCGTTTTTCTCATTTTATCTTCTCTGCTGATATATCCCTTTGGTGAAGATTTTTATTAATTTCATGTACCAGATTACAACATAAACATCCAAATGAATTAAATTCACCCAGATGGCTGAAAACAAAATAAAAAGTTATCATCAATGGCAGATTTGTCACTAAATAACTTACATTTGTTTAATCTCTAAATTGTTTGAGATTTGAAAAGTGCCATGCCACTTATTTGATCTTTAAGGCTCCTGCCAACTCTGAAGTACTAGCATCGTCGTACATGATCCAATTCAAGTTAATAAAATAATTAACTAAAGGGATATATTAGCAGAGAAGATAAAATGAAGCAAACAATGCAGGAAATCGGGAGATGAAACATTTGTCAATGTAGGAAGATTCCTTAAGATTGTTTCTTTTTTCTTGTATTCAAATTTAAAATATTTTCGGGCGAATGTAAAATCTTAAAACGACTGTTGAGATGCTTTTATATCAGTTTGAGTCATTTTTGTTTGTTTGAAAATATTTTTTACGTAAATAAAATTACGTTGTTCATTTAAATAATTTTTTCAGTAACTGAACTGCTGTATTATTTTAAAAACGTGAATAAGGTAGAAATTCATGGATGGTTTTTTTAAAATTTCAGGAGGTTAAAGTTGGATCTTGTGGTAAGAGATGATCAGGGAAATGTTATTGACCCTCTGCGGACAAGCACGATCAACCTGTTCAAATTGGTTAGTTGTCCTTGATTGACATTTTATTGTAAACTATTTTTGGACGAATCCGTTTGCAACTATTCACTCACTACTTAACAACTATTAATTTAATCATTTTCAAATTAACCATTAATGACATTATGCCTCGCTGGTTAAGTGTCTAAAAATTAATTTTAAAATTCAAAATTGTTATTTGACATTTGGCATGTTATAAAATGAATGTAGGAGAACAAATCAATGGGAAACATATCTCTGAGTGTTTAGTTAATTTAATCGAACCTTAAAGAAAGTATAGTAGGTGGAATTTTATGAAAGATTTGGTTTTGTTATAAAAAAATAACCTGGTTTTCAATAATTCTTTATTTTTTCAATTATAAATATTATTTATTTTCGTATGTTTATGAATTTTCATACAAAAAATTCATTTGTTAAACGACGAAGATGTGCATTTATTTTCGCGTAATGATTTTTCTATGTAGGTAGCGCACAATATAGATGACATCGCCTGCCAGCTAATCTTAACAATTATTTGTATCTTGTATATACGTCATTCATAATGATATTCAACTGTTCATTTCATATTGTATTTAAATGTTCACACATCTCTCGCTTCCCACACAACAGTCATGTCAATCTTTGGAGAGGACAAGTCTTTATCTCACTAAAATTGGCCAGCAACTGTCTAATTACTCTTTAGATGTATTTTTTTTATCATTTTCTTTAACTTTCAAAGTTGTGATGTCACAATTCGTCGATGCCTTTTGTGTTGAAGTTTTTTCTTATAATTTTTAAACTCTTCCTTTCCATGTTTTTAAAGTATTTTTTCTCATTTTTTTTTTAATTTTTTAGTTTTTCAGCTGGATCAGCAATACTCTCAAAAAATGTTACATACAATATGATAAAAGATTTAAGGGTTAGAGTTTAATAAAAAAAATAGGATTAAGTGACGACAGATATTTTGATAAATTGATAAATGATCAATGATAAATTATGAAAATAAAAACTTCAGAAATGATGAGACTTTAGAAAAGTTAGTAAAACAGGCACAATGCAATTAGTATCATAGTTGTACAAATACCATAGGAATATAGCTCATGTTCGGATTAATTGTGATGCAGTTGTAATAAGCTATTTCATTCCAGTAAAAAACAGTAACTGTAGTTTGTTTGTCTGTCATGTGTACTAGGGTGGAGCGAATTTATACATAAAAAAATTTTTTTCTTCTTTTTACTTTTCCTGGGGTTGGGAAATATGTCTTTTATCGAGTTATTTCAATGTGTAAATTTTGAATTTTATTGAACATTGTTTTGAGGTTCCTCTCGGCTGGAGACTGTTTATGAATTGCATTTCAAAAGTAAACAAAACAATATCATCAAATTAAACATGTTATTAACTCAAATAAATCATTTAAATCTTGAAAAACAAAACATTAGTTTTTACTAGTTCACATCAAAGACTTAAATAATGAAGTGTTTTTTAGTTTCAAATTTTGGTATATCATTTTGAGATGCAAGTTTAGTACGAATAAAGCCATCTCTTGCTTTTTCTCCACAAACTGAAAGTGACGCTTCTGTAACTAATTTTATCATTCTTTCTACTG